TTCACCTTTAACAAGCTTATATTTAATGAAATCATATTTAGTGTTTTGAATATATTGCATAGAATATGCAAATTTATGAAAATATTGTATTTCTAGATTATAGACTTCATAACAACATGTTATATCTTTTATCAAGTCTATACAATCATTTCATAAGGTTTCAAAATGTTGTTTAAGTCAAAATATCAAAATATCAATTTTCAGGTTTTCATGTTTTGGACTATTTTGTAAAATGATGATATTTTTCATTTGGGAAGTCCTTTTTCGAAACCAGTCATTGTAGCATGTTTATTATCATGTCTACAATCATTCCCCAAAGTTTTACATTTTTTGGAATTTATTTGATATTTTTAAACAGCATTTCAAAATCAGATAAACAGTTTTCATATCAGTTTTCGGTCGCCCGCCCCGGTCGACCGAACCTGAGGTCAAAAGTTCACTGGGCTGACAGACGTCTGTCGGTCGACCGGTACGGTCGACCGATGAAAATTTTCGGTCGACCGACGAATTTTCCGGTCGACCGACAAGTGTTCCTTCAGCTTCCAACGGCTAGTTTTTTGACCGTTGCATTGGGGCTGTTTTGTCTTTTGCTCTGGTTTCTTGACTCAGTTGTGAGAGGGTATAAATACCCCATTGTCTTCAACTCTCAAGCTAACCAAGAAATGTTTTAAAAGAAAAGAAAAGTTTAAGCAAGGGTTTAGGGTTTTACTGTTTGTTTTGAGTTTGGGTTTCTGTTTACAAAGGAGGAAGTTTTCACTGCAGATTGAGGGATTCATTCTCAATCCCCTTCATCCTCTTCTTGTGTTCTTAGAGAAGTTTTCTAACTCTTTTCTCTAGCAATTTCATTATTGATTTTCATATTCTTATTATTGCTAGTTTGTTAATTGAGTTAGATTTTATTTTACTCATTGTTACACACACCCACATTGAGCTTATAGTATTTGCATACATAGTATAGTTGGGTGGTGAGAGATTGTAACTTTGAGTTGTGCTTTCATTGTGTTCTCATCTATTATAGAGAACAAATTTATATTTGTTACATTGTGAGATTGTTAGGTTTTCGGTGAGCTAGAAACCGAGTGTGGTGTGAAAGTTTTCGGTGAACTAGAAAACCGATTGTGAGGAGTGACGTTGATCGGTGAGCGTTGAAAACCGATACTGTGAGGTGTAAACGTTGTTCGGGTGAACGTAGAAAACCCGGTTGTGATAGTGGAATTCTCCCCGGGAGTGGGGAGCGGAGACGTAGGACGGAAGGTCCGAACTCCGTGATCATATTGCTTGTTTGAGTGTGCTTTGGCGTTCATTCATATTTATGTTCATATCTTATATCGCCATTGTCATTAGCTCATTATCTATATCATCCACTATCTTGTTTAGATTGTTTACCCCTTGTGTTAGTTTACATATCCTATACATATATCATATTGTATATCTCTTTGATAGGATATATCATCTTGTGTTAGCTCATATATCCTTGCATATATCTCATAGTATATCTCATTGCTAGGATATTTACCTTTGTTCATTTTGCTTATTCTTGCACATAACTCTTGTATATCTATCTTGCAAGAATATACTTGTTAATTAATTTTAATTGGCACTTAAATCGGATTAGATTAGCATAAGACCCTAATCACCCCCCCTCTAGGGTCTAACAATTGGTATCAGAGCTTGGTGCTCTTTGATTTAAGGTCTAATCGCCTTGAGTTAAAGATCCAAGTTATCTTTTTGTGCTAATCTTGTTTTGATTGCATTTTTTGTCTTGCTTGCACATATATATTTATCATGGTCATGAAGCGTGCACATTTGTTAGGCTATGAATCTAATGTTGCTCCTAAATTCATTAATTTTCCCTATGCACAATGGGCTTCTAGATTTAAAATTTTTGTGCAATCTAAAAATATTGATTTATGGGGAATTATTGATGATGCTTATATTGTACCCACTATGGAGAAATCCAAGTGGAGTAGAAATGATAAAAGATTGTTTACTATGAATAAAGTTGTGTTAGAATATATGCTTCATGCACTTGATTCTTCTATTTCTAACAAACTTGCTCATTTTGATAGTGCTTACAAATTGTGGATATTCATAGAAGCACATCAAGGAGACTTGGAGGCGATCCGACAAGCTTTGGAGGATACGGCTTCAAGTTCATGTAGAGCTTCATGCACTCGTGCACTAGGCGATAGCCCTAGTGAGGTTTGCGAGTTCGAACCCGATAATGATTTATCTAGTGATGAACTTGCTTGTGCTAGTGAAAAATTATTGCATGCCTATAACAAATTGCAAAATGATTTTAATGATTTAAAAAGCAAGCATGATGTTTTAAAATCCGATCATGAGAAGCTAGTGTCCAAATTTGATGTCATTGAAAATGAAAATACTATGCTTAAAGAAAGCAATGACTTATTAAATTTGGAAAATGGAAATTTGATTTCATCTATTGCTAGCCTATCTCATGCTAAGATTGATGCCATGTTAGAAGTAGAGAACATAAAAAATAATACAGCTTCTTTTATAAATAATTATTTATGTTCTACTTCTAAAAATGCATATGTGCCTAAAAATGAAGATTTGAATCTTATGAAAAATAGTATTTCATCTTTAGATTCAACTTTAAAAATATGCATTCATAACCATAAGAAACTTATGGACAAGTGTGCTAAATCTAGTAAATCACCCATACACTATGCACACTTGTATAGCAAAGTTTACAAGTGCTCCATTTGTGGTCGTAAAGGCCATTTAGCTAAATTTTGCTATGATGCACAAAAACATAAGAATATTAATCCTTCTTGTGCATCTCATCAAGTTTCTTCATCACATGTACACACACATGCACATGCATCTATTTCTCATCATAAGCATGCTAATGTGTATAAATGTGATCTATGTGGTCGGTTTGGCCATTTGGCAAAGTTTTGCTTTGACATGAAAAAGAATTCTAGATTGCCAAATGTTTTTCATAGACCACATGTTTTTAAATGTCATGTTTGTGGTAGGTTTGGACATCTTGCTAAATTTTGTTTTGATATACAAAAAGCTTCTAAATTGCAATATGTTCCAAATAGACCATTGTTTAAGAATGTTTCTCATTTGCAAAATAATTTTAAAAGAAAATCTTTATTTGCAAATGATTCCCGTGCACGAGCTAATGGTCCACAAAAACAAATGGATCTCTTTCATTGCACAAATTGCAATCGGAAGGGTCATTTGAATGAATATTGTTTTGACCATGTTAGTGCACCATATGTGCCTAAGAGGGTTCATAACCCTAAGGCTTTGAGCTTTAATGATAGGGGTCATGTCCCTAAATCTTTTGGTACCAAGAGTTCTTGGGTACCAAAACAAATTTAAACTTTAAACCAAGAATTTTAGTGTTCTTACTTTTTCCTTTCTTGGTTTTAAAATTATGTCTTAAAATATTTTGATTATGAAAATAAATTTATAATTGATAAAATCTTTTGTTTTCATGATTATTTGTTTTGTTTTGATGAGAGGTTTGTACTTATATAACCCTCCGGGTTCATTGGGTGTTTATTCCCAAATCAAGTTTACCGGATGCTAAAATGATTATATGGGTTGGAACAAGCTCAAGAGCTTGATATAATTGTTGCCTCTCTTAAAAATTGTGTTTTGATTTGTTGCTTTTGAATTCATTATAATTCACTTATATGATGATATTTATGTGTTTGTGCTAATGGATCATCTATTCGTGCTTTATAATGTATTCTATGAGTGGTTTGATCAAGTTATGTAAAGAAAATTTTTCTTTATTGATCAAACATTGTTTTTGAATATAAACTTTGATTTATGATTTCTTTTGATGGATTTGTTTTCATTTGAAAACTTTTTTGCATGTTTCTCATGTTCCTCTTCTTTTGATTTCATAAATCTATTCTTTTATATGGTTTTTATATTTTTTGTGTTAATGAGACACTATTTTCATATTGACATATTTATATGTGTTCTCATTATCTTCATGTATGTGAGTAAATTTTTAGCATATTCATGTATGCTTGCTCACATATGTTTTGCCATGATCTTCATCGCATATATTCTATATGGCTTTTTGATAGGGGGAGCAATCCCTATACTTGTTTGATACTCACCTATGCTTATTGATAGGGGGAGCTTTCGCTCTCTTAATCCTTTTGTCCCCTTTTTGATGGGCCACCGAGCCACCCCAGGGTGGCTCGGTTTGGGCCGAGCCACCTTGAGGTGGCTCGGCTTGGGCCGAGCCACCTGAAGTTGGCTCGGCTTCGGCCGAGCCCCTCTAGGTGGTGGTTTTTTGGTGTTTTCCGCCTTTGGTTCTGTCCGTGATTTGATTAACTTAGTCTTTGATTTGGTTGATCTGATTTGGCAGTAAATCCGGATCCCGATTAGGCAGTAAATCCGCTTCTGAGTTGGAGTCCGAAACCGATCTTGATTCGATCGTCATTCGTCCGAGTATGCCTTTGGTTGGATGACTCGTTGACTCTTCGAACCCTTGGCTTGATCCCGCACGTGTATGGATGCATTCCGTCGCTTGATGCGATTCGTCGATCTCGTCGCCTCGTTGGTTCGTCGGTTTGTGCCGAGCTGAGCTAAAGGACCTATAAGCAATTTTATATGCCTACAATGAATTGATTAAAAACTATGGGAGGAAGCATATCTCACCTAGAATTATGCTCAACATTGATATAAGGAGGCTTTTGATACTCTCAGCTGGGAATTTCTGGAGGATATGCTGCAAGGGCTTGGCTTTCCTAGTAGAATGATAAAATGGTTAATGGCTTGTATATTTACCCCAAAGTTTTCTATCTCTCTAAATGGATCCCTCCATGGTTATTTCAAAGGGGAGAGGGGATTGAGGCAAGGTGACCTCTTATCACCCTATCTCTTCATCCTAGGGATGGAATATTTATCTAGGAGATTGGATAAATTGAAGAATGAGAATACTTTCAAATATCATCCTAGATGTGGGAAATTAAAAATCACTCATCTTGTGTTTGCGGATGATCTTCTTCTTTTTTGCTAAAGGGGATACTCTCTCAGTTCAAAATCTGTACCAATGCTTGAAAGATTTTAGTGCTGTCACTGGCCTTGAAGCTAATCAAGTAAAATGTTCAGTTTACTATGGTGGAGTCTCAGCCACTGTTAAAAAATCAATTGAAGAATGTCTGGGCTTCAAAGAAGGATCATGGCCAATTAAATATCTTGGAGTTCCTCTACTGCACAAAAGACTGTCCTATGCTGATTGCCTCCCTCTCATTAATAAGATTAATGGTCAACTGCTAAGCTGGATGAAATGCAAAAGTTTATCGTACGCAGGAAGGATTCAGGTGATAAAAAGTGTCATACTTGGAGTTCAAATCTTTTTGACTTCTAGCTATTATCTACCAATGAAAGTTCTTCAAAAAGTGGATGAGCTATGCAGGATTTATCTTTGGGGGAAAAATGAACAATCTCTCAAAGTTGCTCTTGTTTCTTGGGAGAAAATTTGCTTGCCTAAGGATCAGGGGGGCCTGGGTATATATTCTGCTGTAAACTGGAACAGAGCCTCTGCCTTGAGGAATCTGAAGGATCAGGGGGGCCTGGGTATATATTCTGCTGTAAACTGGAACAGAGCCTCTGCCTTGAGGAATCTGTGGTATGTTCATATCAACAAAGAACTGCTGTGGATAAGATGGATTCATGGTAATTATTTAAAAAGAGACAGCATATGGCGAGTTAAAGCAAGAAATGGGGATTCCTGGACTTGGAAGCAGATGTTGAAAATTAGAGACAATGCTTTGATTCAATGTGGAGGAGAGGAAAATCTGAAACAGTTCTTAGCTTCTCACTATAAAAATACTAAAGTTCAGCTCTCTTCTCTTTACAAGTTATTCTCCCATAATACTAGCAAAGTGAGATGGAGCAACACTGTTTGGGGAGGTTTGAACTATCCTAAACATTCTTTTATTTGTTGGCTTGCTGTCCAAAACAGGCTGCAAACAAAGGATAGATTGATGAAGAGAGGGATTGTAAATGAAAATATGTGCACCTTATGTTCCAGGCTGCAAACAAAGGATAGATTGATGAAGAGAGGGATTGTAAATGAAAATATGTGCACCTTATGTTCGGGTCAGGAGAACAGAGACCACCTTTTCTTTGACTGCCCTTTTTCTAGTGAGATTTGGAACCAGGTGATGTTGTGGCTTCAATTCAAATGGACAGCTTGCAATTGGCATAATCTTCTGAACTGGTACTGTAACAATCTTAGAGGGAATGGGGACAAAGTGAAGATTAAAAGATTGGCGTTTACTACCACCCTGTACAAAATTTGGTGTGAACGCAACTGTAGAATTTTCGAGCAACAGTGCAAGAGCAAAGACCAATTGGTTAAGGAGATCAAGATGGACATATTGATCATTGTCCTCAACAGCTCCTTGCCGGATAACTGCAAAGAATGGATTAGCCTCTGTAAATAGATTAGAAAGTTGATTTTCTTTGATCTGTTTTGAATTTTTTTTTTTTTTGATACCTCACATAGGAGGTTCTTGTTGTTCTTAAAAGCTTACATTTGGTGAATGAATAAAATTTATTTCATTGACCAAAAAAAAAAAAAATTCATATCTCAGGAAATTTTCTTTCATTAATCTTAGTCTAATTTCTCATAGAGGATTACAACTTTATTTATAAAGAAAAACTAAATATGGAAAATAAATCAAGTCCTATCTGAATCCTAATATAAAAGAAAACGAAGATAAAATCTTTAACAAAATAAATCTCAAATATCCTAACAATCCTAAATCAAATCGTAAGGAGATCTTACCTAAAATTGGAGATTACATTAAATATATTAAAATAACAATGATACTAGTAAATCTATAAAATCATTGATCAACAACCACCAATCGTCCTGCATCAGCATGTGTGTCTGAGCGTTCGTGCATGTGTGCATGTGGAAGAGTCTAAGAACGTCATTATGCATAGAATAGCCGAGTGTTGGGGATTCGAAACAATCAATCGAACCCTTGCCCTTCCGGACCTTGTGTTGAAAGTAGGAAAGTAGGAATAAACCACAAATAAAGATCTAACCTTGAAAAAACAGTAAAAGAGACGAACACACAGATTTAACGAGGTTCGGCAACGTGCCTACGTCCTCGGGAGCCACACCACACAATCTTTCTATTAATTGAAGAAGAAAATACAAGCTCTCAAACAAGGGGTAAATCTCTCTGAGATTCTCTCTCTCTTTGCAGCCAAAAAGCTCTCTTTTTGATGTCTTTCTAACCCTAAAAAACGTTTGGGTATTTATAGAATCCTGAAACAAAACAGAGTCCCAAACAGTTTAGGAAACTGTCTGGGCGATTCGCGGTCGACCACCGTGCCAAGGCCGGTCGACCGGCCAGAGAAAAATCTGTTTACAGGGTCCTGTGCACATTTGCGGTCGACCGCAGCGGCCACGCCGGTCGACCGACCAGAGCGAAAACTTCTTCTCAGTCTCCTGCAGTGCACGCGGTCGACCGGCTCTGCCACTGCGGTCGACCGCACAGTCTTCTGACTATTTTCTTCGTCTTTTCGATTGCAGCTTCGGGTCTACACACTTAGACTAACAATCTCCCACTTGGAGACCAAAGCGCCATCATCGAGCTCACCCGAACTCTCCCCTTCTTCGCATGTATCTTTTTCTCTGAAAAAATTCTTTCTTCAATCAACATCCCGACGATCGCGCCGATCCTCGTAGTGTGGCTCCGCCTTCGTCTTCTACTCGTGAAGGCCAACTGAAGTTGCGCACAACTCCAGTTTCTCAATGGTGACTGCCTTCGTCAACATGTCTGCCGGATTTTGACTCCCCAAAATCTTCATTAAGTGCAACTTTCCGTCCTCGATCAGCGAGCGTATAAAATGGTATTTAACGTCGATGTGCTTCGTTCTGGCATGATATACTGGATTCTTGGCAAGATGTATAGCGCTCTGGCTATCACAATAAAGAACTCCTCTCCCTTGCTTCAGATCCAACTCTTCCAAGCACCCGTTCAACCAGATCATCTCCTTGCTTGCTTCAGTCACCGCGACATACTCAGCCTCGGTTGTAGACAAAGTCACAATCTTCTGCAGACGTGAGACCCAGCTCACTGCTGTCGACGCTAAGGTATAAACATACCCCGTGGTGCTTCGCCTCGTATCATGATCACCGGCGAAGTCCGCATCCACGTATCCCTGCAGCACCAACTCCTTCCTCCTGAAACATAGTGGCTTGTTAGTTGTCCCTCTCAAGTACCGCATTATCCACTTCACGGCCTCCCAATGCTGCTTCCCTGGATTGCTTGCAAATCTGCTCACAACTCCCACTGCATGGGCGATGTCCGGCCTCGTGCAAACCATCGCGTACATGAGACTCCCAATGGCTGAAGAATATGGCACCCTGCTCATATGCTCTCTATCTGCATCTGTCTTAGGCGATTGCTCCTCAGATAACTTGAACTGACTTCCAAGGGGTGTGCTAACAACTTTAGCATTCTGCATGTTGAACCTCTGAAGTACCTTCTCAATGTATTCAGCTTGGCTCAAACTCAATGTCCCTTCAGCTTCATCCCTACTGATTCGCATCCCTAGAATCTGCTTCGCTGCACCCAGATCCTTCATTGCAAATTCCTTTGCTAGCTGCCTCTTCAAACTGTTTATCTCTTCTAAACACGGTCCTGCTACCAACATGTCATCAACATATAATAACAAAATAATGAAGCTGGACTCGAACCTTTTGAAATAACAGCAATGATCCGAATTGCATCTTCTGTAGCCATTGTTCTGCATGAAGTTATCAAACTTCTTATACCACTGTCTCGGAGCCTGTTTCAAACCATATAAGCTCTTCTTGAGCTTGCACACCATCTCTTCCTTTCCTTCTTCAATGAAGCCAACAGGCTGCTTCATGTAGATTTCTTCATCCAAGTCACCATGAAGAAAGGCAGTCTTCACATCTAACTGCTCAAGGAAGAGGTCTTCTGCAGCTACCAAACTCAACACCACTCTGATGGTTGTGAGTTTCACAACAGGGGAAAATATCTCCGTGTAGTCCACTCCTTCCCGCTGTTGAAACCCTTTCACTACTAATCTGGCCTTGAATCTCTTGCTTCCATCACTCTCCTGCTTGACCCGGTAGACCCATTTATTGTGCAAGGCTTTCTTCTGTGCAGGTAGCTGGGCTAACTCCCATGTCTCATTAGTGAGTAGAGAATCCATCTCCTCCTGCATCGCATGCTCCCACTGCTGAGATTCACTCACTTGCACTGCCTCTTCATAACACTCCGGCTCTCCGCTATCTGTTAAGAGTAGATAATCAAGTGACGAGAGGTATTTGGGATTTGGTTTGGGTACCCTAGATGACCTCCTAGGCTCCACGCCCTGGGTAGTAGCTTCTGCACCTGTAGTCTCCTCCGTTCTACGGTCAGAACTGACATCGTCGCCCCCATCTGGAAGTTCCTCCAAATCCATGTACTCGGATCCACCTGTATCCGTAGTGCTGCTCCCACTGCTTTGGCTATCCTTGGCATTGTCCCTGTCCTTGTACATCACCTCCTCATTGAATATCACATCCCGGCTCCTGATGATCTTCCTGTTCTTCTCATCCCAAAGGCGATACCCGAACTCATCAATGCCGTATCCAATGAATGTGCACTTCTGTGACTTAGCTTCTAGCTTGTCCCTGACATGGTCACTGATATGAACATAAGCCACGCAACCAAATACCCGCAAGTGTGAGAGATTTATCTCAGAACAAACATCATCACCCCTATCTGGAAGTTCCTCTATATCCATGTACTCGGATCCACCTGTATCCGTAGTGCTGCTCCCACTGCTTTGGCTATCCTTGGCATTGTCCCTGTCCTTGTACATCACCTCCTCATTGAATATCACATCCCGGCTCCTGATGATCTTCCTGTTCTTCTCATCCCAAAGGCGATACCCGAACTCATCAATGCCGTATCCAATGAATGTGCACTTCTGTGACTTAGCTTCTAGCTTGTCCCTGACATGGTCACTGATATGAACATAAGCCACGCAACCAAATACCCGCAAGTGTGAGAGATTTATCTTCTTTCCACTCCAAACCTCCTCTGGAATCCCAAAATCTAATGGAACTGATGGCCCGTGATTAATAAGGTAAGCTGCTGTATGTACCGCATCCGCCCAAAATGTCTTAGGCAGACCTGCATGTAATCGCATGCTCCGCGCACGCTCTGTCAAGGTCCTGTTCATCCTCTCTGCAATGCCGTTCTGCTGCGGCGTCCCTGGAGTAGTCCTCTCTAAGCGAATCCCATTCGTAGCACAGAACCTCTTGAACTCCTCCAGCTCGTATTCTCCACCATTATCTGATCTCAAGCACTTCACCTTCAGTTCTGTCTCGTTCTCGACCATGGCCTTCCACTTCTTGAAGATCTCGAACACCTCTGACTTGTGCTTCATGAAGTAAACCCACACCTTCCTCGAGTGATCGTCGATAAAGGTGACGTAGTATCTCGAACAGCCAAGACACACTGGCTGGGCCCCATACATCTGTATGAATCAACTCTAGCTTCTGAGCCTTAGGTGGCCTTCCACCCTTCTGGAAACTAACCCTCTTCTGCTTCCCAAAGATGCAGTCTTCACAAACCCCGACTTCCACGGTGTCGATCCCGGTTAGCTTTCCTTGTGAATGTAGAATTTTCATCCCTTTCTCGCTCATGTGCCCCAGCCTATTGTGCCACAGATCTGTACTCTCCTTGCCAGCTGCAATTGCGAGGGTGTCACTCGCATGTGAAGTGAGGTAGAGAGTTCCCGTTTTGTTGCCTCTGGCAACAACCATCGTACCGTTGGAGATCCTCCACGAATCCCCGGTGAATGTCGAAACGTAGCCTTCTGCTCCAAGCTGTCCCACCGAAACAAGATTCCTCTTCAGCTTCGGCACGTGTCTCACGTTCTTCAAGTTCCACTTAGAGCCCTTTATCTGTATCTGAACGTCGCCCTTTCCAACAATATTGCAAGGTTCATTATCCCCCAAGTATACTTTACCAAAGTCCCCTGCTACATAGTTCTGAAGTAGTTTCCTATTTGCAGTGGCGTGGAAAGAAGCTCCTGAGTCGATGACCCAAGAATCAGAATCGCTATCCATAGCAAGGATCAAGGCATCCTGCACGATATGAGCCTCCTGCTCACCCGCATCCTTCTTTGGTGCTTTACAGACCGAAGACATATGGCCCTCCTGGCCGCAGTTCCAACACTTCCCTTTGATAGACCTAACCTTCGAGTTCGGCCTCTTCTTCACTGATTTCGACCGATTCCTGTTCTGGTTCCCTTTCTTCTGGCTTCTGCCTCTCTGCTCGAAACTTAGGGCTGAACCTGAACCTTCTGATTCGGACGATTTCCTTCTAACCTCCTCGGATAGAATCATGCTAACAACCTCATTCAGCTTCAACTTCTCTTTCCCCGCCGAATTGCTGATTGCCGTCACACAACCTGCCCAACTATCCGGCAACTGCGATAGTAGTAGAAGGGCCTGCACTTCGTCATCGAACGTGATGTCCACGGAGATAAGTTGATCAACAATCGTGTTGAACTCGCTGAGGTGCATCGTGAAGGACCGTCCTTCTGCCATCTTGAGGTTGAAAAGAGTTTTGACTAGATGCACCTTGTTTGCTGCCGACGGTTGCTCGTACATCTTCGCGAGCGCTTCCATAAGCCCCACCGTCGTCTTCTCCTTCAGAATATTGTGGGCTACTGATTTGGCGAGCGACAACCGGATTTGCCCTAGAGCCTTCCTATCCAGTACCTCCCAATCACCATCTGACTCCGTCGTCTTCTTTCCCTTTTCCTTGCCCAGAAGCGGGCGATACAAGTCCTTCTGGTACAGATAGTCCTCCATCTGCGACTTCCAGTAGGCGAAATCCGATCCGTCGAACTTCTCAATCTTTGATTTGCTTTCCTCTGCCATGGCTTTCACACAAATTGCTGAACGAAGCTCTGATACCAGTTGTTGGGGATTCGAAACAATCAATCGAACCCTTGCCCTTCCGGACCTTGTGTTGAAAGTAGGAAAGTAGGAATAAACCACAAATAAAGATCTAACCTTGTAAAAACAGTAAAAGAGACGAACACACAGATTTAACGAGGTTCGGCAACGTGCCTACGTCCTCGGGAGCCACACCACACAATCTTTCTATTAATTGAAGAAGAAAATACAAGCTCTCAAACAAGGGGTAAATCTCTCTGAGATTCTCTCTCTCTTTGCAGCCAAAAAGCTCTCTTTTTGATGTCTTTCAAACCCTAAAAAACGTTTGGGTATTTATAGAATCCTGAAACAAAACAGAGTCCCAAACAGTTTAGGAAACTGTCTGGGCGATTCGCGGTCGACCGCCGTGCCAAGGCCGGTCGACCGGCCAGAGAAAAATCTGTTTACAGGGTCCTGTGCACATTTGCGGTCGACCGCAGCGGCCACGCCGGTCGACCGACCAGAGCGAAAACTTCTTCTCAGTCTCCTGCAGTGCACGCGGTCGACCGGATCTGCCACTGCGGTCGACCGCACAGTCTTCTGACTGTTTTCTTCGTCTTTTCGATTGCAGCTTCGGGTCTACACACTTAGACTAACACCGAGTTGATCATCCGCCTTTTTCTGATGGATAGACTAGGTTACATAGATTTACTTTAGACGATGGTCCCAGTGGCTACCATTTATAATGCATCCTATGTACATTTTAAATTAGTCTCTTTTGATTTATGGAAACATTGAAAGTAAACTTCCTATGCTTTATTTTTCGTTTTGAATAAGATGACCACAAACAATAGTTTGGTAAGCATTATGACTCAAGTCCAACAGAACTGATGGCTAACCTTTTTTTCTTTGTAGCATTATGACTCAAGTCCAACAGAATTGATGGCTAACCTTTTTTTCTTTTTTTAGTGCAAGGAATCTTGGCTTAGTACCAGCCAAGAAAATAATTGATGGTTTACAATAATTGTAAGGAAAATGATAAGAAGGAGAAATGGAAACAACTTAGTTTCTGATTAATTTCTTAATCTGTATTACTCGTGATGTATCTCCTTATACACATTCTAATCACTATACATGGTATACATCTCCTACAAATCAGCCCCTACTAATACAGATTAATCCTTACTAAAACTGATACGACACATCCCTTAAGTTTATTTTCATCAATCTCCAAATACTATGCACATTATATCCCTTTATTTAGCTTCCAGAATTATGCTCATCAAATCTCATTAATCTGAGAAAATCAATCCTTGATTTTCTCAGTCATCACCTCCCACTGAGGTTGATGCATATTGCAACCAAGCATCAATTTGGACAGTAAGTAATAATGATGCTTTTTGGTCATAGCCTTAGTGAACAGATTAGCAAGTTGACCATGGGAGGGAACATGTGCTAAACTGATGTTGTAGTCTCCAATAAGATCAAGAATGTAATGGCAATCAACCTCTATATGTTTAGTATGCTCATGAAAAACTAGATTCTTGGCAATTTGGACAGCACTAGAATTACCGACATATAATCGAGTTGGCGTATTGCAAGAAACACCAATTTCGGATAGTAGCCGACGAAGCCATACGATCTCAAAGCTAGCAACTGACATGGATAGATATTCAGCTTCAGTTGAAGATTTTGAGACACGTTCTTGCTTCTTACACTTCCACGAGATAATTGAATTCCCTAAGAAAATACACTAACCTGTGGTGGAATGTCCAGTATTGGGGTACCCGGCCCAATCAGCATCAGAATATTTTACTAATTGAAGAGTTGAGGTGGTAGGAAAGAGAAGGTCATAATCAGGTGTGCCTCGAAGATATCTGATAACCCCAAGCAATGCAGTGTAATGAAGTTGTCAAGGATCAGATACAAACCGACTTAGTACCTGTACAACATATGCTATATCAGGGCGAGTAATAGTTAGATAGATAAGGCTTCCAACTAGGTTCCGATATAATGTCAGATCAAAGAGTGGTGCACCATCCTCCTTGGCATATTTAGTATTAACTACCATGGAAGTGTGAGCTATCTTGTTGTTTGTGAGATTGGCTAAGCGAACAAGATCACTTCTATATTTTTGCTGTCGAAGAAAAATACCTTGAGATGTATAAGAAACTTCTAGTCCCAAAAAATAGGTCAGAAGACCTAAATCTTTCATATGGAAAGATGCACTAAGAAAATTTTTAAGCTGATCAATGCTTGGCTCATCATTACCCGTAATTATCATGTCATCAACGTACAATAGTAGTATGGTGATGCCTCACGGAGTTCTTCTAAAAAACATAGAATGATCAGTAGTGTTCTGACTGAATCCAAGCTTAACAGTGGTTGAACGGAATTTTCAAACCATGCTCGTGGAGCTTGTTTCAACCCATAACGAGATTTGCGGAGATGACATACAAGATTAGGCTGCAAAATTGAATATCCAGGGGGAGGCTTCATATAAATTGTTTCCTTGAGATCTCCATGAAGAATTGCGTTTTGAACATCCATTTGATGAAGATTCCACTTTTTAGCAGAGGCAACTGCCGAAAGTGTACGAATGGTCGTCATCTTAGCAACTGGAGCAAAAGTCTTCTCGTGGTCTCGCCCATGTTCCTGCTTGAACCTTTGAGCAACCAATTGAGCTTTATGACGTTCTAGGCTACTATCTGCCTTCAGTTTAACAGTGAAAACCCATTCGCTCCCAGTGGTAGATGCACCAACAGGTAGAGGCACCTAGATTCCAAGTACCATTCTCCTCGATTGCATGCTCCTCATTCATAGCTTGTCTCCAACACTCTTGACTACCTGCTTGATAATAGTGAGTAGGTATAGAAACTGAATCCAAAGTGGTAAGGCATACGACTTACCATATCGCTCATGTGAATAACCATATCTGTTAGGAACCATAGTATGTCTAGGGGAACAACAAACAGAAGTTGTATCAAAAGTTTCAGGAGCAGTAGAAATAGTAGTTTTAGGAAGAGCAATGTTGGGAGTACATGTGATAGCCTGATAGGTAGTATTTTGATCTAAAGAAGCGGGGGATAAGTCGGAAGAGGAAGTAGACAAGGGTCCATTTGTTGCTAAAATTTGTTTTGACTCCGAATCATCAATGTCGGCTGCAAGAGGAAGTATAGAAAAATTTGTTGCAGATGAGGAAGTGACAGTTTTATAATAAAAATTGTGCTAAAAGAACTACATGACGTGAGACTTGAACACGGTGATTTAAAGGGTCAGAACAGAGATATCCCTTTTGGTGATCAGCATAACCAATAAAAACCCATTTAGCTGCTTTAGAAGACAATTTATCTCTTTCCTTTGGTGAATGATAGACAAAGCAAATGCCTCCGAAAACCCTCGTGTCAAAATAGTTTGGTTCTTTATTATAAAGAGAGAAGAATGGAGATTTGTTTTTCAAAACTGGAGTAGATTGTCTATTAATAAGATAGACTGCTGTTTTCACAGCTTCTACCCAAAAGGTTTTAGGCATTGAAGACTCAAGAGGAAGTGTTCGAGCACATTCCACAACATGTCTAACCTTTCTCTCTGAAATACCATTTTGTTCGGGTGTCTCAGGACATGATTGCTGACGAACAGTCCCATTTTTGCTATAAAAGTGTAGCAGTTCAGTCTTAGTATATTCCCCCCTAAGTCAGAACGGAAAATTTTAATTTTGTGAGAAAATTGTGTTTCAATCATTTGACAAAACTTTGAATTATGTGAGGAACCTCTGATCTGTTACAGAAGACATAAATCCATGTACATCTAGTAACATGATCGATAAATAGAATAAAGTACCTAAAACTCATGGAAGCATAACTGACTGCACATGCCCAAAAAATTTCTACTTATCGTGGAACTTATATCCTTAAGTTAACTAGTTTTTACACACGTGCAATGCACGTGATTTAATATCATGATTAAGTATTTTTGGCAGTTTGTGCTCATTTTTTCTTTAAACTCTTACATCTCGATTATTTTTTTATGTTTGTTTAAATGGGATACACCCAATTTAAATTTTCATGTTGATATTTGAATTGACAAAAAACAAATATAATTTAAAAATAATTTAAATTTTCATATTATTTTTGACCGATATGAAACTAAGCTTTATTTCAGAAAGTATAGCATTGCAAAGTAAAAAATATTAAAATAGTGTTATACAAGGAAGGTGAATATTTAAAACCAATATAGCAAAATGATTGATTTAAAGTATGTTAAAACGATGCAAAAGAAAATATGAAGTTTATTCCTAATCATTGATAGACTTCATAAAAAAATATAAATTAAAGATTAATGCTAACTCTAGTATACTTTTATATGATAAAAACATCCACATAAGAATATAAAAGTACTGAAATTTTTTTATAAAACTCCCTTCTAAAGATTCCTAATTTCACTCAAAATAATTAAACTATTCTATAAAATATTCATAAAATAATGTTTTGATTTCTTCTATTTTATTTTTTATTGAGTTAAGATCAATCCTTCTTCAGGTTTATCATTTATCATTTCTCGGACAATTCTAGAGTATTGTCTTCATCATCTACATCAATTGTGACATCAGGCTAATTTTGTATTTTTTATGCTATTATCTTTCCTGGGCTCGTTAATTTTTTATCATCTCATTTAACTTTACAAAGAAGTCAAATGTACTTATGATGTTCACACAAACAGCTCAAAATATAGACTTTGATTTTTTTTCTATTTCAATGAGAATAAATATTAATTTCATATATATAAAATTCTTTGTGTTCCTAATTTATTACTTAAATAAATTAGAAGTTATCTTTTTATTTTCCTCTAAAATGAATTCTTCTGATGTGCATCCAATAAGAATTTCTGTTATTTCAATATAATTACCTTTACTCTATTCCTGTTATTTTCCATAAAGATCTAAACTAAATATCTGCATTATTCATTACCAATTTATCTTAGATTATAATATTAATATTTAATTTGAAGAACACAGTATGGAATTTATGAATACCTACTAATTTTTCTTATGTCTTCCATGAAAATTTTTTCTTTGATTAGGATAAAGTTATTAAATTATTTTTTAATGTAACTCATTCAGTGCTTCATTAATAGATATGTCTTATTTTAATGCCAATTCAAGTGATTCATTGACGTTTTCTGAATTTTAGATTTATTTCCATCACTTTCCCATTTGCAATGGAAATAACTCAATTCTTTTAAAGTTATCTCTAAATATTCTAATAGTTTCTCCATATGTAATTCCTTGTATTCTTTTACCCTATAAATATTATTAACGTTAAAGATTAAAGTTTCTAAATTAAAATCAATTAATGCTAAGGTATAATATTATAGTGTTTTATCATTTCTATGGATTTAAACATCTATCAATTAATGTTACGAATGTATTTTGGCTACCCCAACTTATTACTAAAATTATATGAAATTACTTTAATTTATATAGTGCCGATAATTTTTAATCTATAATATTTTTAAAAATTTTATCCATTAACCGGATGTTTTTAATCAATTCTTATTGTTTTTGTTTACCAGTATCAACTTAGACTATTCTTAGATGTTGAAAATGGATAGTAAATCCCTAAATTAGAAATTTTAATATATATATATATGAAAAATACCAAACAATTACACTTTTCTTTGCCAAGTTTTAAAATTTTAGCCCATTTTTGTGGTTTTGAACTTTAAGGGTGTGATTTATAATTTTTAAAATTTTGAAAGAGTTTTTAAAAAAATTTACTTTTAAGTTTGGTAGTTATAAATTCTATGTTTCATGTGTTGGTGGTAATTTTTTAAGTGCTAGTATATTTCTTGTAACTCTAAAATTTTGAGGGTGTCTTTTGCAATTATTAAAACTATAGATTAATTTTGAAAAATATTAAATTTTAGCGGTCTACCAATCGACGAATTTGATGTGTGCTAGTTAAAACTTTTGAAAATTTAGAGTTTTTTTTTACGATTTTTAAATTTTGAAGGATTTTTTTAAAAATTTTGAGGTCAATTTTGGCAAATTTTAATTTTTAGGTGTCTAAGAGTAATATCTTGAATTCATCTTATTTTATTTATAAATTTTAGAATTTTAGGGTGGCTTTTTATAATTTGAACTTTTGAATGTGTTTCTATAATTTTTGAGATATTGAGGGTGTTAATTAAAAAATTTAAATTTAAATATCAAAAATTTTAGGTGTATCATGGTAATCTCTTGAATTCATCTGTGTTGTTTGTAAGTTTTAAAATTTTAGAATTTTAATGTGCTTGTCTGTAATTTAAACTTTTGAGGGTGTTTCTATAATTTTGGAGACATTGAGGTGTTAACTATAAATTTTAAATTCTTTGCAAACTGATATTAATTTTTTGATTTCATGTTTTTTATTTTAAGTTTTGAGACATTTGGATGAGTTTTATAATTTTGAACTTTTCAGGGTCTTTTCTGCAATTTTAAAACTTTTTATGGTTTTTTTGCAAAACTTCATGTATTATAATATGTTATCTACTTGTAATTTATTTATCTTAACAAACTAATATCATTTTTATGTTTTATATATTTTATTAATATTAGTTTTTTTAAATTGTTAAGCTAAACATGGTTCACATAGGATTAGGATAAGATATGATTATGATTAGGATAGATTAAGATATAAATAAAATATTCAAAATAGTGAAGAGTAATATTGACCATTGAAAATTAGAATTTGATTATAGATACGGTAGTTCAAACTATAAATGGGTATATTTGTCTAAAAAAGATTTTCCGAACTCGTGCTTTTAAAGAGAGTATGATATGATTAGGCTACAAGTATATGGATCATGGAAGCATAACTGACTGCACATGCCCAAAAAATTTCTGTCCTCGTGGCTCTGTACCTCTTTTGTTTATCTGAGGCAATTCCTGCTCACGTCTGATGGGATTTTATATTTAAATTTCCTTGAATCACACGAAAACATTGTAGTAAATAACGGCATGTAAATATTGTGATGGGGATAAGTGCTTCAACCGTCCAACTACAAACTTGTGATGTGTTTCTTAGTTTCCATTTTCATCATTGTATGCTTTAATAACTTTCACTATGTATGCATGTCCTTGAAAGAACAGAGACACAGGAGTAAAAGCTATGCAAGTGTAGTCTTTCCTAATAAAGAATGACTTCTAGCTTGTTCCAAATGCTTTATATAAGTTTGACCAACTAATATGATTTGGTGAACAAACCTTACTTTTTGACAGCATCGGCAGCTTTAGAAATAATAGGATGTATGCTAATCCATCATTGCCTTAATATATTTTGCTGGTTTAATACGTGTTTCGACCATGAAACTACACATTGTAACATCCTCTTGATTTTTCTATGTCATTTCCATTTTACTTTCGTCTGTATATGTTTCTTTTCCTGATTGAGTCATGCTTGTAATTTGTTGGACAGGTGTAAGGAAAATTGCTATCACTGCTTGCAGGCATTAAATTTACTGGTTTTTTTTCCTGATAGGAGAATACCTGTTACTTAAAGTCATGCAAGTACAAATTAAATTTTCCACATAACCACTAGCTTGTTCCCATATTTATGAATAAACAGTTTGATAGATAAATCTCCACCGTCATGGTTATATGGAACTTTAAGTAGTTGAAGGGATACACTGACATCATTTCTAATAGCCTTTGTATTTGGAAGATGCTTCAGTACACGGCTCAATAGAAATTTTCTGTATCATGTAACTTGACATGTGTAATGTGCTGTTGTCTAGCTAAGTACAACTATGTTTCTATCATATGTTTCCTTTGATCTATTTGTTCAAAATGGGTAACAACAACACAACATTTATGCAATTATTTGGGGTTTGAAATGCATTTATGTTTTATAATATCCTTAGAAGCAAGGGTGATTTTTAAGATAATTTCTTTTTTTGTTTCATTTTGCACTCTGCGTCAACTTTGACTTATTATCCAATTTCTAGCAGCCATATCAAATTGAGGATTGTCACGGGTTTGATTAAGCAAATACCTGTTCGGTGACTTGAGCCTGCAGACCTTATTACTTTCTGTACAAGCTTTTCTACTGAAAGGGTGCAGCAAAAGAAAGCCTTATTTTTTGGGGTCGATTGAATTAATCATTTTTCTCCACTCCGATTCCTGAAAATGTTTATCACTCAGCAGAAGAATGTCATATTTCCTTGAAATGTATAAAGTTTGTCTATAGAATGATTTCAGCCTGATCTCTTAATGACTGTGTTTTGTTTCTCATTTCTGAAGGCAACATCTCAGCTCTTGGTTCGTGCTGCACATCTGAATGAAGTCATAGTGAGGCGTGTGCCCATCATAAGATCTCCGCTGCTTCCAGTGGGTGGTTTGGCTCCATGGTCTACTGTTGGTCAACTCTGAATGTATGAATGCCGTTATCATGGGGTTGTTTCTTTGATGCCCGGATATGTTCCTTATTCTGCTCACAGCAACATTATTCTTATAGCCAATGATTTGTAAATGTAAAGTAGTATATACGCTAGTTATGCAGTGTTCTATGCGATCACCACTTGAATTTTGTTGTCATTTTTCTCCTCCTTTTGCCGTTATGTATGGATTTTTGGCCTTTTGATACTATTGCATCTATAATTTTCATATTATGGATTTTTGGTTTTTTGGTTCAAATATCCTGGAATGGATAAAAATTGCAAATTTTCCATATCAACTATGCTGCAGTAAGGTTTATGGCGACATTATAGATCCTTTTGGGTCTCTTATCGCTTTGACGAGGAGATAGTGGAGTGTTGCAGCAGAAGTATGAGCCTTAATTTCTGTTGAAAATTTTTAGAGATATTCCAAAGTTTGCCTGTTGCACGTACAACAGTCCTTTTGATGACAATGTGAGGGAATTTAGAGTTTCTGTACTCGCAGTGGAAAGACGTTCGCTATGTTCGGATCTTGGCTCTTGGCGCTGCAAAATGGAAGTATCTTCTGCACAAGGAGGGGATAGCTTATGTTTATCACATTGGTCTGATCGTCAGATCAAGAGCTATGCTAATGTAGTAGAGCAACCACTTAAAGATCATGCAAAAGAAAGAAGGGAAGTGTGCTGATGTGGTCGATAGAAGTTGGCGAGAGCCGAACTTGGAGGTATCTTGGCAAGAGGTGCAGCATAAAATTGAAATCACAGGACAAAACTTGATTAACTGGAGCTCTAATAAATTCGGCCAAGTGGGGAAAAGGTTAAAATTGCTTCAAAAACTATTAAGGTTGCGTTTGGATTCGAGGATTTGATTTCAAATTTCAGAATTGAATTCTGAAATTTGAAATCCAGAATTTCAAATTCAATTCCTTCGTTTGGAAAACATCCAAATTTGAATTCCAAAATTCAATTTGAAATTCATGTTTGGCAAACTTTAGAATTTCAATTTTAAATATTTCAATTAAGTTGTTTGTCAACTAGTAGAATTCTAATTATTGAACTAAAATTGTAACTAGAAGATAATTTAAAAATAAGATACTTAAATTACATAAGATTTGCATCGAAATTAGTGAAAATAAATGCCTCAAATAGTATATCACATATCTAACTAACTTGATATATAGATAAAATACCTTAAAACCTCAAATGCAGTAATGTCAATAATTGACCTGATAATTACCATAAAAATAATCGAAAGCATTCATCAATAAAACTTTGTAAGCTCATCCACCACTAACCAAAACAATAAATAAAGTATAAACTTCAAATATTACATATAACAATTTAACAAACTAGAAATCCAAAATATCCAACAAATACAAACCAACAAAAGTTAATATTTCGCTGTTACATAATGTCATGCTTAAGTTGCTCTCGCGCTAATTTCTTTAAGACTTTTACATCTGATTCAAATGAGAGTTTTTTTTTCTAGTGCTTATACACTTCCACTTTGTATTCTTTTGTAGTTTTCTCCCATTGGTTCAGAAAGTCTTACTTTGCGAGTTCTTGAATCACCTGAAACAATAACAAGAAGACCAAATCAGCTCCATTTTTAAAGACCGTGCAGACTTGCAATATAAAAGAAATCATGTTCTATTTAGATTGCTAGGAATCACATTTGCGGATAGTAATAGACAGTCCATTAGAAGAATCATTATTATGTACACCACTTGTAATACCCCAACCCTTGAGAGGGTGATATGATTAGTATTGATAGATTTGATTGGAATACTCATACCACCAAGATGCATCTTCTTTTCGGGAACCCAACTCTTAGAAACTCCAAAGTTAAGCGTGCTTGGCCTGGAGAAATTCTAGGATGGGTGACCCTCTGGAAAGTTTTCCACGAAGCGCGTGAGTGAGGACAAAAAACGTGCTGAAAAGACATGTGGTGGTTTGTGAGGCCAGTCCGTCAGATCTAGTAGCGTACCGACACCGGGATTCCGGGGCGGGGCGTTACAAATGGTATCAGAGCCAAACCAACCGGAATTGTGAGAGCTAAGTGCTATGCGGCGCAAAGTGCTACGTTGAGAGGGCGGGAGCCACCTCTTGAGGCCGTAGGAGCCACCTCTAGAATCTCACACTGATGGTACGGTCTTGGATGATATGATTTGGCGCAACGAGGACGTTGCGAGTTTAAGTGGGGGAGTTTGTAATACCCCAACCCTTGAGAGGGTGATATGATTAGTATTGATAGATTTGATTGGAATACTCATACCACCAAGATGCATCTTCTTTTCGGGAACCCAACTCTTAGAAACTCCAAAGTTAAGCGTGCTTGGCCTGGAGAAATTCTAGGATGGGTGACCCCCTGGGAAGTTTTTCAGGGAGCGCGTGAGCGAGGACAAAAAACGTGCTGAAAAGACATGTGGTGGTTGGTGAGGCCAGTCCGTCAGATCTAGTAGCGTACCGATACCGGGATTCCGGGGCGGGACGTTACACCACTAAGTTATGTTGACATCCCAACATGGACAGCTCTTTCCCAGAAGGAAAAAAAACTGATCATAGACAACTTTAATTTCTATGAGGGGCTCCTATCAGGTTGACCAATGCAATTTAACTCAGTTACTACGAACTACAAATTTAAACCGAGGCTCAAACCTTGCAGATTTGCTTATTCAAGAATCACAGAAATTCCTCCCCTCGCTAGCGTTAATGTCATAATACAAATAAAGCGCAAGCGATCAAACGTAAGAATTGTTCAAAAGAGACTAGTAAAAGTTTCAGCACATACATAAGCCAATGCTAGACTATACCATTCTGTTGATGAAAACAAGCCAACTATGACCGCGTGAACAAATGATAACCATTATTATCCCTCAAACTCCCATTCCTCTCTATCCCTAAACCCTTCTTCCTCATACTCCCAAGTCCGCCATTGCCATAATCGCAACTCCTCCTCAAGCTCACAGTACTATTACTCCGTGAAACCCTCCCGTTATTGTACCCGTTAATGTACTCGGTGATGAAAGAACTGCAACATCCCCCTATTTAAAGGTCCACTTGCATTCATATGCTGGAAAAACTACTACATCATACCATCCTATATTTGGAAACACATACTTACGTTACATGTCAGGGTATTAACGTTGTAGCAACTTAAAATATCTTTGCCTCGTGAATATTTAAAAATTATCAAAATAAAACAATGATCTTAAAACTTTGACCACTTCCTTGATATTGAAATAAAGATCAGGACAAGGCAGGAAGATGCTGAATAACAAAAAACACAGGATGCATGCTAAATAAGCAGATTGCATTTCACCAACAGGGTAAAGTATCTATTGAACTTTATCACAAAAACTACTTTACCAACACTCCGGAAAGAAGAAAATATTCTAGCAGCCACTATAACAGCAAGTGTTGTTCCTTTGGAGAACATACATTTTTCAGAGAAAATCGCAGGCTATGACCTGCACAAAACAGGCACATCATCTATCCAGAAGACTACATCATACTGCAGAAACTCTATTCTAGTGGAAGACCATAAACTACCCTGTAAAAAGGTGCTTGAGACAAATATACGTTCATAGAAATGTCATCCATTTTGTCTTGACTTCCAAAAAACATTATTACCTAATTCTAGAAGAGAATCAGCTACAAAATCCAACTTATTTACGAAACAGAACCAGGTTTGGGTTGAGAAGACTTTTCAAGTATATGGACTCTAAACCTAACCAAAAAGGACTTGACAAGCTATGAAGCACGGATACTCCCCCAATGACCACGAATCCGTGTCTGACACGAATCAGACACGGATTCGTGCCCGACACGTGCAAGACACGTGTCGGACACGGTCAAACAGTGTCCGATACGTGGTCAACGGGTCAATGGGGAGGGGATACGGTCAACTGGGAGGGGACACGGCTGGGATACGAAAAAAAAAGCAATACATAACCCGTAACCAAAACCCAAACCCAAAAACCCTAATTTCACTTCGCTCACCTCACTCGAGACGCCGCCGCCTCCAGCGATCGCAAGCTTCTGCCGTCTCTCGTCGTCGATCTCTTCCACCCGAAGGCCGTCGTCGTCGATCATCTCCCCTTCTCCGTCCCTATCAGTCTCTTTATCTTTGTTTTTTTTGAGAAAACTAACTTTTTTTTTGTTTATGCAGCTTCGTGATACTGCTGAGCAAGTCACAGATCTACAATCCTATTCTTCATTTGATAATTTATTTTTTTCAATTTTAGTTTCAATTTCAGTTTTAATTTCCTAACATATGAGTATTTTTTAATTTCAATTTCAGTTTCTTAACACAAATGAATTGTTAACATTACACAAATGAATTTCATTGATATGTCTAGTAAGCATTGAGAATTTTGTCCATTTTCTATACAAATGAATCTGCAATGAACGTTATTGTGTTTTAAATATCAACACCTTCGAATATTTTAAGCATTGGGAATGTTTGAACATTTAATTCATATCAACAAATGAATCTGCAGTATAATTTTGTTAGTCAAAAAATTATTACACAAATGAATTATTTGTTAGGCAATGAATTATTTGTTAGACAATGAATTATTATACAAATGAACTATTTGTTAGTCAATAATTGTTAGTCAATAATTTTGTTAGTCAATAAATTATTACACAAATGAATTATTACACAAATGAATATACATATTTAATGAATGAATTATGAATATACATATCTAATTATACATATTTGATTGATCCTTCATCCTTGCTCATTGTTGATTAACTCTAAGTATAATCTGTAAAAGGAAAAACAAAGTCAGTGAGCAACAACTTATCTTTTAGTATCCCTGTATCCTATTTTTTATATATAATAATAATTTTCTATATATAATAATAATTTAAAAAAATTCCTCGCCGTATCCCCGTATCCTATTTTTTTGGATTTTGCCGTATCCCGTATCCGTGTCCGTGTCGTATCCGTGTCCCGTATCCGTATCCGTGCATCATAGTTGACAAGTCATTCCCGACTACCAATTAACAAGTGATTGCATTCTTGATATTGTGTAACTAGTTTGTTTGAACTGCATAGAGATCCAAGCATTTCAATTAAAGCATAGCAATGAAAAAGATGCAAAGAGGTTTAGTAGTTTGGTTACTAATCACAACGGAAGTTTGTTAAAAGGAGTCAAAATAAAAAACAAACAATAAATCAAAGAAAAGTTATAGGTACCAATAAAAAAAATAGATACATGCATGCAGGAAGAATAAGAGTCTACAACACAAATATAGTTACAACTAAATTAAACAAGTAATGAGAGATGTCCTTCAGGCTATATATATATTTCATTCCCATGTTATGAGAATTAAAAATCTTATAATATTTTTATGAAAGTTAAGTCAACTAACTGGCCTAGTTCACAAAAAAATATCAAAAGGATCTAACCTAGGGAATAATGTTTTGGTAGATAACTTCTAAAAAGATAATAAATAATCATACATCTAGCACAAGTTAGAAGCATGATCTTCGTTACTTATTGTTTTTTCACTCTATATATTGGCTAAAACGACAAATCTGATCTTCATGGCAGAAATATCACTATTTGTTTTATTCCTACACTCATTGTCTTCAGCTACTTTATGTTTCTCTTCAATTTCAACATTCAGAGTTCTATCATCATTCCCATCCATATCACACAGTTCTCCTTCTTCTCTGTCAACAGGGGAAACTTTACTATCATCACATCTATTTGCAGTAAAACATGTCGATGCTTCATCCGCATTCGAGTCCTCTTCCTTCTGTTTTGACCCTTCCCTCGAAACCTGCAAGTTTCTGGACCTAACAAACAGTTAAAACCTAGAACCTGAAGATGCATGTGTGAAAGCATGATTTTTTACTATCCGAGAACTCGCCTCCGTCGACTGAAGCAAAATGGAGGCGTGAAGATTCGACGTTGGAAGAGACATTTGGGGCAAAACAAGTGGCACACTCCCCTTCTCATCCTCCTCTTCCGCCGGGGGCTCATTAAGGTCAAATGAAATTCCTCCTCGAGAACCCATCACATGTGCAATCGCATATAAATCCAACAAATTGCCTACTATACCCAACTGTACACTCTAAATTACCACTTTTGATGCTATCAATCAAATAAACCTGCATGAACATTAAACCAGCCACTAATGTATACCACCTCTTTAGGGTAAAAAAATTTGAAACTTTATCAGATCAATAATTCGATCACCTTCAAATCGAATCGCTCAAGGCCACAAATTCAAGAAAATTGACTAAAAAGATAACTGAATAACATCTAATCACTTCAATTCCTAGAGAACCCTAAAAAAACTAAAAAGATCGAAATTTTAAGAGATAGGGAAAAAGGATCGGAATCACTGACCTCGAGCGCTCTAAATCGCTGATTCTGATTCTTCCAAAAGACTTGGCTTCAATTGATGAATTTATAGAGTTTTAGTTGTCCGATCAGGATCCTGTTAGGGTTTTTATTTTCCCACGGGAGGAGATCTACATCATAGCGCTCAAGCCCTTGCCCCTGCGACTCTCGCCATGGAACTGAACCAGTCTTCCCCCAAACTAAACCTCACTCTTCTCCGATCAGGATCCTGTTCGAGGCCGGAGGCTCCATCATCGACAGTCGCCAAGGGTTGCTATTGCTACCTCATCGGAGGAGAGATTAAGGCTCTGGATCAAATGAGGGAGAAAGATTGGACTAGGGTTAGGGTTTCTGCAGATGATCGATTGAGGAAGAAAAAGATTGAGGATAGAGAAGATTGAGAGGGGGGGTATCCGAGTTAAGGGATCGCCAGGAGATCGCGACTCGAGAGAGTCGTGAAAATTTCCAAATGACACCCATCGGGATATCATTTCAAATACAAGGCCCGCTGCATGTTTAAAACACATTTGGAATTGGATCAATTTTAAATTCTCAATTATTTAGAAATCCAAACATTAACATTGATCCAATTCCAGAATTTGAAATCAAATGCTTGAATCCAAACAAGCCGTAGAGAATTCCAAAGTTATCCTATGAAAGATTCCCTAGTTGTTCGTGTGAATAATGTGGTGTCAAATTAATTCTTTACTAGAAATATAGGAGATCATGTGGAAAGAACGATCATGAGAGTTATGGCTAGAAGAGGGTGATCACAATACCAAGTTCTTCCATGCTCGAGCATCTCACGGGAGGAAAAACAGCACCCTTAGTTTTCTAAAAGGTGAAGATGGGATCCTTTACAACATAGAGGAGAATATGATGAAAGCTGCTATCTCTTATCTTGAGGAGGTTTTTGCTACGAATTACTCTCAGAGATTTGAAGAAGTGCTAAATGCAATCGGGTGCAGAGTTTCGCCATTGATGAATGAGAACCTATATAAACCCTTCACTACATGAGAGGTGGAAGAGGTGGTTCGTAAGATGAATCCGACTAAAGGCCCCTGGCCCCGATGGTATGTTAGCTATCTTTTATCAAAATTATTGGCATATTGTGGGCAAAGATATCATTAATGCTTGTCTATCTTTCTTAAATGAGGGGGCTTCTATTAATTGTATGAATCATACCTACATTGTTCTTGTCCCTAAAATCCATAACTCCGAGTCTATGAACCATCTCAGACCTATTAGTTTGTGCAATGTTATCTACAAAGTTATCTCTAATATCATTACAAATAGGCTAAAAATTATTCTCCCTCTTATTATTTCAGAAAATCAAAGTGCTTTTGTAGCAGGTAGGAAATATAACTAATAACGTCATAGTTGTTTATGAGATGATTCATGCTTTAAAAAACAAAAGAGGGGGTAGAAAAAGCATGTGTGCTTTAAAGTTAGATATGAGTAAAGCTTATTATAGAGTCGAGTGTGGTTTTCTCAAAGCTATTATGTTAAAAATGGGTTTTAATGCTTGTTGGGTGGAATTAATCATTCGGTGCATTTCGTCAGTTTTATATTCTATTTTGCTCAATGGCACCCCATCCAATACCTTTTCTTCCTCGAGAAGACATCAAGAAGGCCCATTCTCCTACTTATTCTTCCTATGTGCAGAAGATCTCTCAGGTTTGTTAAAGAATGCTGCAGAATCTAAACAATTGACAGGAGTTTCCGCATGCAAGTGCGGCCAAAGAGTCCCACATCTTTTCTTCACAGATGATAACCTTTTATTCTTCAAAGCAACACGAGAAGAGTGTTTGGTTCCCAAAAATATTTTGCGACAATATGTGGAAGCTTCAGGTCAAAGAATCAACCTCAAGATGTCGGTGACCATTTTCAGCACCAATACTCGACGACGGGATAGGAGCTTAGTAAAGGAGATCCTAGGAGTCCATGTGGTAGTCCAACATGAGAAATATCTAGGACTACCAACTATGGCAGGGAGAACGAAGAATTTTTCTTTTAATTATATAAAAGATAGAGAGTGGAAGAGAATCCAAGGATGGAGAGGAAAACTCCTATCAAAGGCCAGCAAGGAAATTCTACTGAAAACGGTGGCTCAATTAATCCTGACTTAATGCTATGAGCGTGTTCAAGCTCCCAGCTAGTCTATGTAAAGAACTCACAAGGATGACGAATAAATTTTGATGGGGCCATAATAAGGATGAAAATTCAATTCATTGGTTCAATTGGAACTGTATGTGCTCCCCAAAAGAGGAGGGATTCAATTTACAGACCTGTAAAGTTTTAGCCTCACTCTACTTGCTAAGAGAGGATGGCACATTTTGAAGGAACCAAACATTCTTTGTCATAGAATTCTCAGGGTGAAGTACTTCCCCAGTGGTGATTTTACGAGAGCGAGAATGTGTAACAATCCTTCGTTGATTTGACGAAGTATCTTGGGAGGGAGGGAGACCCTTATGAAGGGGCTCCAGTGGTGCAATGGCAAGGGACAGATTCGTGTTTGACATGACCCGTGGATTCCCTGACCATGTACTTTTAGAGCGATTCCGTCTTGGTCAGGCGAGAATAGCAAGCTTGTGGTCTCAGACCTTATCATCCAAGGGGAGCAAATTTGGGTTGAGCACAGATTGAACGAATTATTCATACAGCAAGACGTAGAAGAGATATTGTATATTCCCTTAGCAGACCCCACAGTCAAGGACAAGTTAATATGGCACTTCAATGATTAGGGGGCAATTCTCAGTCAAAAGCGCCTACTATTTAGAGTTTGAAAGCAAGCGAAGCAGCAATCGAACTATGTTTCGTGGTAGCACGTCAGCTAGCTACGTGGTTACTCGGAGCCCAGTCTAGAATATGGGGAGCCTCTGTCCCTAACAAGGTGAAAATCTTCACATGGCGTGTAGGCAACAACATGATGCAGGAGATCAAGTATTGGACAAACGGAGAAGAAAAGTAGCCGAGTTGACTGAACAGATGGACGAGACGAGACTCGACTTAAACCAGACGAGACGCCAACAACATAGACAAGTCAAGATGATGACAGGACGAGTCAACACAACCTAGCCGAGACGAGCAGACGAATCGAAACGACAGGACAAGACGATAGACAACATGATGAGTCGACACATGCCAGTCAACACGAAAGGCAGGACGACTCAACATGCTTAGTCAACTTAGGTCCAGTCGACACGAAAGGTGGTTCTGGTCGGGACGCCTCGTGTCGACCTGGATTTCAGATTAGGAAAGAGTTTTTTTTTTATTGTTTCCTTTTGGGATTTGGTATTTTCCTTTTAGACTTAGAGTTTCTTTTTGATTAGAGTTAGGATAGATTTAGTTGGCTATAAATATTAGTTCCTTTTGTAAATTGTAAATTAACTTTTCTATTATTCAATCAAGAGAATTGTTCTCCATTGTTTTTCTTCTCAAGTTTGAGAAACTAGGGCTTGTAGATTCAAGCTTGTTTTCTACATGCTATTGTCAAGGCTCGTCGGCATTAGAACGTTATCCAATCGGCCTTCCTCGTTTCTACGTCTACGTCAAGTGGTATCAGAGCTTCGATTTTAACATCCTTGATAATGGCAGATGACGGTGAGAAGGAGTTTTCTCTACAGGATCTTTCCGCGAGGATGGATTCTATGGATGAAAGATTTGGCACGTTAGAGGCGTCTCTTCAGAACCTTCAACAAGCCATTGAAGGACTTACCCTTCACCTCAACAATGGGAATAACTTCGCCGATGATCTTAACCTAAGCGAACCCAGAGTTAGGCTACCCCGACATCCACCCCTGTACAATCCCCAACCCTCTCCAGTTCATCCCCCTCCATATCAACCACGTCCGACCCAAATCCCTCCATATCAGCCCCCTCCGCATCAGTCTCCTCCATATCAAACACCTCTGTATCAACATCCTCCAAATCAACCCCTCCACATTATAGACGACATCCCAACCAACCCCCTCCATATGATGATTCCAGTGACGAAGGAGCGGACTATGATCACCAATTTGAAGGGCCATGGAACGACAATGTTTCGAGTGAAGAAGAAGAAGATTGACCTTATGACAGAGGTTGAGACAGGGGCTACAACCCTCGTCACAACTACCACCGACAAGGTCAACATCATCAGGAATAAGAATATCGGATGAAGGTAGAACTTCCTTCCTTTAGAGGAAATTTGGACATAGAGCCTTTCTTGGATTAGCTCTATGAGGTAGAAAAGTTCTTTGAGATGACTAATATTCCCAAAGCAAACTAGGTGAAGTTTGTAGCCTATCGTCTCAAAGAAAGAGCCATGACATGGTGGGATCAAACTCAAAACACTAGGTGACGGCAAGACAAACAACCAGTTCGGATTTGGCGATGCACAAAGCAGTTGCTATAGTCGAGATTTCTACCACCTGACTATCAACAAGTCCTCTACAATCAGTTCGAGCAATGCCGTCAAGGAATCCGAACAGTAAGTGCCTATACCGAAGAGTTCTTCCATCTTACTTCTCGTTGTGAACTATCGATGAGTGAGGAACAACTCGCAGCCAAGTATATCGACAGTTTGAAGTACTCAATTCAAGAGAAAGTAGCCATCCACAATGTGTATTCCATGGACGAACCCTACAATATGACTCTGAAGGCAGAAAGATTAGCCTCCAGGACATTACCTTTCAAACAAGCCAACATGGAGGCTCGGTCGAGAAGGCGAGAGGGAAGTTGGTAGGGCAGATGATAACTGATCGACCTATTCCCCCACGGTTAGCCGAGCGATCAACAACTCAACCACCACCCCGACGACTCAAGCAAATCTATAAGCTAAGCCGATGGGAGGGAAGTGTTTTTGATGTCTCCAACCTGAGCATAAGTCCAATGAGTGCTTGCAACGGCGGAAGGTCAATCTAGCGGATTATGAGGAGGCTGAGGAGGGACACACAACATCCGAAGAAGAGTATGAGGAAGATGTTGGCCTCTTTGTTTTGATGATGTTTAACAAACAATTTACCACTAATATTGTTTATCTAGTATTTGTATTTTTTTATTTATTGTAGTCAAATAACATGTTGGAGGATGGATGGAATCAAGCATTCACGATCATATCCAATGGAGGTTGGCGGAATAATGGAGTGAAGCTATGCAAATCCAAGTTAAAGATCCAAGTTCAAGCTTCATCCGCAAGTTTACCAAGATGATCTTAATTGAAGATCAAGATTGCTTGGGTACAATAGTTTAAGTTTATATTATGTGTGTTAGTACTTTAAGCTCAATCATATACACACATATACGTTTTGGTTTTGTATATATATAGTTATATATATACATATATGTTTTGGTTTGATAGTTTTCAAGTTTTAATATAAAACAATTGAATATAATTAGAAAACATATTTTTATTTCATACTTACATGCATATATATGATTTCATCAATATCAATTTTATTTAGTTCAATGAAATCATATTTACTTTTGAAATGTTTGCAAAATATGCAACTTTGTGAAAACATTATTTTCTTGGTTTATGGACTTAATAACAATCATATACATCTTTTATTAAGTCTATATAATCATTTTGTAATGTTTCAAAACATGGTTAAGCTAAAATATTAAAACTCATATGTTTACATTTTTATGTTTTGGACTATTTTACAAAATAATGATATTTTATATTTGGGAGGTCCTTTTTGAAAATCAGTTTTTGTAGCATGTTTATTTTCATGTCTACAATTATTTCTCAAAGTTTCATAATTTTTA